TTTGTAGTTACCAATTTGGTCTTTTGAGATAAAGGCTAGTTAAAATGTAAATGGGAAAAACAACATAATAATTTTTAAAAAAGCTAATAAATAACATGTAACTTAAGTTTGAGATACAAAAGGATAAAGTTTGTGTTGCTAATCAAGGACAGTCACTCTTGAGTTCAGTTTCATGTTATATTAACTTTGACTACCAGAAGTGTTGCTATGAATTAACACTGGAGCAATGTGGTTATTAAAAAATATTCAGCTGCATATAGAATTTGTAACAACCTCTGCTGATCAAACATGATCCTCTCTAAGTGAATACCATGACGTGTATAAACCAAAAAGTCACACCATCTTCTCCCAGTAACACCCATTCGGGTTTGTACCTGGCTATAATATGGATGGCTGGTTACTAAATTAACTTTGCCATCCACTGGAGTTTTTCTAAGGTAAGTCAAGTTACTCTCAGAGGGAATTTGATTTGCAATACTATAGGGGCACTTACTTTCTAATACTCCCTTACCACAACAACTATAACTAACTACTGCATCAGGGCTTGCACCTAGAAAAGACTTGTTTTGCATTAAAAATAATCCACAAGGTTCTACTTTTACATCTTTATGTCCAAGGCGCTTCATTTCTTCTAAGTAGTGTTGCCTTGCCTCCTCTTCCATTTCATGCCCATATTGTAATGCAGGAATATTTTCTGGAGTGGAAGATTGCCCTGTAAGTAGCTCTGTTAATGAGGTGGCAGAGGAAGAGTCATTTTTGTCTTTAAGTGATTTAACCATAGTCATTACTCTGTGACTAGTAGAAGCTGTTATTCTCCCCACTCACTGGGACTTCCAGTCAGTACTTTGGCCTTGTCCGTGAGTATGATACTCGTAAGACTTCAACTTCCTTGGCAGATAGCTCTGGTAAATTTTGAATAAGCTCCTCTGCTGTTTCACCCTGGATGCAAGTTCAGGTAAGCTTAATGGTATTGGCATTGTCATCTCAACATTAATGCTTCTCTCAAGGTTGAAGTCTGCTTCAGGTGGGTATTGAGGAGCAGGCTTTTAGCCAGACTTTGAAAACTGGCCGTCCAGAAGGTATGTTTTGTCATAAAATTATAAGAGATTAAGTGAATTTTCCTCTTATTTGTTCCAAAAATGGGCGTCCATAGGACGGCTGGACTCCCCTCTGGCTAAAACCTTGTTGAGGAGGGTTAGGCATATCTGTATACCAGAAGGCATATGCGTCAGGTGCTCTACTATAAAATGCATCTACCACATTTTCAAGGCTTGGTTCTTTTTCAGGAGTAGCGATAAATTCATAATGTGAGCCAGAGGTCCCGAAATGATTTGAATGGATTCCTTAATTACAGACATTGGAATATTATCGTATCCAGCCGCTTTCCCGGAAGCAAAGGATTGAGCAATGGTAATAATTTCATCCTCTGTTGTTGGGCTAAAAAAGATTTATTCTTGAAATGATCCATATAGAAAATTTTTATGGGAACAAGGAGGAGGCTGAATCTTCTTTGCGAGGTTGGGACCAACACTAGAGAAGTAGCTGCAAAACCTATTTGCTACTTCCACTGGATCAGAAATCTCCTGATCGTCTGACTTAAATATTGTATTTAATTGAGCCCTAGACTTTTTTCTATTTAAGACTTCGTTTAAAGTTTTCCAGGTCGCATGTGCATTTGATTTAGCATCTTCCAATTTCTTTTCATAATACCGATGCTTAGCCTAACGCAAGGTGTGATTAAATTTGTTCTTGTATCTTTTGTAGAGTGAAGAATTGTCGACTGTTGGAACTTGAAGATATTTTTTGTAAAGTTTATTCTTTGTTTTATGGGTTTAAGAAAAGCTTTCGTTAACCACGGTTTTTTAAAGCGCCTCTGCTTTCTAGTCGCCTTCTTGAGAGGGAAGCAAATAAATGTTTGTATACATTTCATGAAAGCGTTAGTACGTAGTATCTGGCTCATCCCAAGTTTTAATCCAAGACCAATCAACAACTTCTAGTTTTTCAACAAAAGTAGGAATATTATTCGGATTCTTCTTATTTGGGCGTGGCCCAAATAGAGTGATGGAAACGGCTTGTTTTGACGCAGATGTGCAATAGGCATGCAGTACGTGCTAACGTAAACAAGGCAAGTAAACAAGCGAAGCGAGGTGAATGTCTACCATGCGAACGTCTTGTACATTGTAATAGGCGTGTGGGAAAGAAAGCTCTGCTAGCTCGGCACTTTATCGCACTTTTACCATCTCAAAAGTTAATCTGAATCTTCGGTATTTTTACCTCATCGAAATTTGGAAGTCTGAAGTCCGGGGATGAAATCTATAAAAAATATTTGGAATAGTAAGGTCGGGTTTTGGTCACAATAAGATCACAAGCACCGAACCTTAAAACACAGAACTAACAAAATGGATCGACATCCACCAATCACAAATCACAAACAATGACCTTTTGAACTCGTTGAAGTAAGCTTTTGCTTACTAAGAAGTCCGCTAAGATGATTGGCTTCTGACATTTTCTTGACGAGAGGAGCGAAATGCACCAATCATAGAAAGACAGTTTTAATTGCATGTTTCCTAAGAGGTCATCTGAACTTGCTGTTTTCTTTATTTTATGTCCATTTCCTTTTCCTTATTTTGTGATTGGTCAATTTTGTTAGGTCGAGTGGATAATCCAATGAGGGACGATTTTGATATCTTTCGATCCGAAATTTTTCGAAGCAGCAGTAAGAAGCAGTTTGGATAACATTTGGCCGCGGGGTTTCGAGGAACGTGTTCATGTAGTTTGTACACCCAAATTTATGGGGAATGGTAAAATCTCCAGGGTTCAGTTTGCTGATGTTACTGGCTGGTCTCGGGGACCTACGACTTTAATGGTGACGTGCGGTTCAAAAGTGATGGTGACCTACCTCTGGCAATATGCCTACGTTACAAAAGATGACCTTAGTTCTTAGCTTGCGACCTTGTTTCCGGTCAGTTGCTGAAACATTTTCTGTAAATGTGTTGTGAAGTAGGAACTTGAGTACAGTCTGCCTTTCGAATTCTGAATTGAAATAGGGGAGAATGAAAAATCAGAGCTCCTCACTCAATTTTTTACCCCTCATTACTCTGACCTACAGTTCTTAAGAGTCCTTTTTGGCCCAAAAATTCCTAATTAACCTTCAAGTGCTATTTCACCAAGCTGGACAATTTTGCTGAGCTATAGCTGCTAACACGGATACTTACCAGAAACACGTACTTGCCGCCTAGCTCAACGTTAAGCACCCTTTTTCAATTCTGATACATACTGTTTGAACAGCCTGCAGAATTGGCTGTCTACCTGCAGGGAGAAACAGAAAAATTACTTGAAGTACTGTAATTTAATTTACTTTTAATGGCAAATAATGTTATTTGACTGGAAAAGAGCCACCCCGTGGACCTGTTAAATAGACTGCTGTTCTTATTATTATTGATTCAGACATGTGCTGGGAGCTTTATGCTTTCCTCACACCTTTATCTTCCCCTGGTCATTGATCATAGCTATCAAGTTGTTTGGACTTTGATAGGGAAGGAAGAGGGTAATGCAATTTGTCATCAGGGAAATATGCCACAGCAAACTCTGCTTTTGTTTGCATAGCTCGATGAAGTAATGATAAGAATTACCTGTACTGGAATTGTTTCATGCCCAGTGTGCTTGGCTTTTGTGAACGTTCCCAGGTGTAGCATTATGCCGCCTTCTTTCTTGATCAGGGCAAAATTTCTGTCACGATAGTGCACTTGCTTAAACACCACTTTAAGTTCACTTTCCAGAACTAACTCCATCGTCGTGACTTCTAGGCCCCTGCTGGGTGGGAGGTGGGTGTACAGTGACAAAAGCAGCAGGTCACAGGCTTCCTGAGAGCGTTGTTGTGTTTGTCTTTAGCCAGTTCAAACCGGCTCCACTGGGCTTCCCTAGCTTGGAGGACTTCATCCCTTAAGAGAAAGCAGGGAGACGTGATATTTTCACAAGCCAGTAGGTCATTACTCATTAAAAGAGGCTGATGTGAAAATATTAAGATCTTTGTGTTGTTGTTTGAAACTTTCCAATGCGTTCCACTTGGAAAAATACGGTTTGGGTGCCTAGCCTTGGTAACACAGGTATTTTCTTACTCTCATCAACTAGGGGATGCCAGTCATTTATTTACTTATTTATTTGTTTTCTTTTTCTGTTTTGCTTTGTCCTCTGTTCTTCTTTATACTAACACACTTACCAATCCAACCACTTGTTTTGGGCTCTGAAATCTTCAACTGTGGTTGCCCTCTCCACCACTCCCTGCTTCTGAAGTACAGTAGCTGTTCTGAGCTGGGAGATAATGTGGAAACCTTCGAATTTTGGTCCCCTTTCCCAATGGTAATACTTGGGTAGGTATAGCAGACTGCTTGCGTGGTTGCTGGCAGTTGCAGCACTCAAATTCCTCTTCTCCTGATATAGAGATGAAATGGCAACATATGATAACAAATTCCAGAGGACCCCTTCGCCCCAGGGCGTGGTTCTTAAAAACCAGCCACACGACCTGGATTCAAATTTTGCGGATTGGATGAAACCGTATACATTGTTTCAAAGAAATCCACATTTCATTTTTTTGCAAACATTCTGTCTATGGGATTTCTTTCTCTTCCTCCCAAAAACAAAATTATTTCTTAGTAGTAAATAAATTCTGGTTTCCAGTCCCCTTTTTGGGCACTTGGTCACTATATTTTGCATTATACTACGCAATAAGATGTTTTTAGCAGATAAAATGATAATCTACGTCAATTGATTAACAGTTCAGTGGAGACCTTCAGCTGCTAAAAAGTTTCCAATTTGAAAAAGTCGTCTGTACTCAACTTCTGACCGGCTTAAACAGCAAAAGTCAAGGAAACGTCATAAAGCAATGGATATATTCATCCTTCGAACTACCATGAAACCAATTTAGTCTAAATAACACAGAAATCCCATGTGGGGAATATGTTAAATTGTTAACTTTTCTTGGCCATTTTTTTTGCCACTCTTGTAATTTCCTCATGGTCATTGGAATTGTGACCTTTGTGCAAGGCTGCCGTGTAGCCATGAGAAGGGCCATCAGGTAAATTATATTAAGCCATTAAGGAAAATATAACACCATAAATCTAGCATGTGACCTGAACACTGACAATGATAGCACTGTACAAACACAGTAAAATCACTGGGTAACAGTACATACATGTACTGGACTTTGTTACCCACTGCGGGTGACAATTGATATTAGTGGCCGACAACCTCTAGCTACCAAAAATCTCCCCCAAAAATCTCCAATTAATTTTGCTTTACTCTGTTAATGTCTATTGTTAAAGTGTTTGTTTTTGTAGTATTGTAAATGTAATTATTTAATGTGATTATCAATAAATATATTTTTAAAAAAAATCTCCTGGAGAAATATCATTTTCCTCTGTTAATGTCCCTTATCAATAAATATATTTTAAAAAAAAATCTCCATTTACATCTCCTGGAGAAATATCATTTTTCCTCCTTATCATACACATTTCTGTGTTAGAAAAAAAGACTGATCTTAGAGTTCTCATTTTGTTTTGGTTTTCCTTTTCCGGCTTGCAACTTAGGATTCCTGCTTCCCGTCCATGACTGCTTTGTGTATCGTGCGCAAGCTAGTGAGGAGTCACTGGCCTTAAGCACGCCCTTTGCCAGGAGCCAACTTCACAACGACTAGCAACTCTTTCGACTCCACCCACTGGCCACCATCCAAGTCCGGGGTATAGATACCACATCCAGTGTTCCTGTACACCAGAAGAAGGACCTTGTCTTCTGACACGAATGCTTGAACACACCTCAGGGAAATTCTAGTCTTCTGTACAGGCTGTCCTTAACCACGACTCCCACGAAGTCCCAATGCTGATCTCCAGTTTGGCGGTGGCTGCCCAGTGGCTGGGCCTGACAGGCTCGAGGTCATCTGGCCCTTCTTTGGCCTTCGGCTTTGCCAACTCTAGTGCCATGGTCTTCCTCTCGTTTGCTGTGGGTGGGTCATAGGTCATCTGGGTTTGCTGTCAGGAGTGTCGGAGGCAGGCGCCAAGGCTGTCTTTCATGTGGTCATCACATTCCCTGGAGACAGGCAAACACAGACGGTCATCAGCAATGTGGCTGTAGTGTTGTAAAGCAACAGATTCCCAAATTTATGGGGAATGGTTAAATCTCCAGGGCTCAGTCTGGTGATGTTACTGGCTCGTCTCGGGGACCTACGACTTTTATGGTGATGTGCAGTTCAAAAGTGATGGTTACCTACCTCTGGGAATATGCCTATGTTACAAAAGATGACCTTAGTTCACAGCTTGCGACCTTGTTTTCGGTCAGTTGCTGAAACATTTTCTGTAAATGTGCTGTGAATTAGGAACTTGAGTACAGTCTACCTTTCGAATTCTGAATTGAAATAGGGGAGAATAAAAAATCAGGACTCGTCACTCAATTTTTTACCCCTCATTACTGTGACCTACAGTTCTTAAGAGTCCTTTGTGGCCCAAAAATTCCTAATGAAGTTTCAAGTGCTATTTCACCAAGCTGGACAATTTTGCTGAGCTATAGCTGCTAACACAGATACTTACCAGAAACACGTACTTGCCGCCTAGCTCAAGGTTAAGCACCCTTTTTCAATTCTGATACAAACTGTTTGAACAGCCTGGAGAGTTGGCTGTCTACCTGCAGGGAGAAACAGAAAAATTACTTGAAGTACTGTAATTCAATTTACTTTTAATGGCAAATAATGTTATTTGACTGGAAAAGAGCCACCCCGTGGACCTGTTAAATAGACTGCTGTTCTTATTATTATTGATTCAGACATGTGCTGGGAGCTTTATGCTTTCCTCACACCTTTATCTTCCCCTGGTCATTGATCATAGCTATCAAGTTGTTTGGACTTTGATAGGGAAGGAAGAGGGTAATGCAATTTGTCATCAGGGAAATATGCCACAGCAAACTCTGCTTTTGTTTGCATAGTTCGATGAAGTAATGATAAGAATTACCTGTACTGGAATTGTTTCATGCCCAGTGTGCTTGGCTTTTGTGAACGTTCCCAGGTGTAGCATTATGCCGCCTTCTTTCTTGATCAGGGCAAAATTTCTGTCATGATAGTGCACTTGCTTAAACACCACTTTAAGTTCACTTTCCAGAACTAACTCCATCGTCGTGACTTCTAGGCCCCTGCTGGGTGGGAGGTGGGTGTACAGTGACAAAAGCAGCAGGTCACAGGCTTCCTGAGAGCGTTGTTGTGTTTGTCTTTAGCCAGTTCAAACCGGCTCCACTGGGCTTCCCTAGCTTGGAGGACTTCATCCCTTAAGAGAAAGCAGGGAGGCGTGATATTTTCACAAGCCAGTAGGTGATTACTCATTAAAAGAGGCTGATGTGAAAATGTTGAGATCTTTGTATTGTTGTTTGAAACTTTCCAATGCATTCCACTTGGAAAAATATGGTTTGGGTGCCTAGCCTTGGTAACACAGGTATTTTCTTACTCTCATCAACTAGGGGATGCCAGTCATTTATTTACTTATTTATTTGTTTTCTTTTTCTGTTTTGCTTTGTCCTCTGTTCTTCTTTATACTAACACACTTACCAATCCAACCACTTGTTTTGGGCTCTGAAATCTTCAACTGCGGTTGCCCTCTCCACCACCCCCTGCTTCTGAAGTACAGTAGCTGTTCTGAGCTGCGAGATAATGTGGAAACCTTCGAATTTTGGTCCCCTTTCCCAATGGTAATACTTGAGTAGGTATAGCAGACTGCTTGCGTGGTTGCTGGCAGCTGCAGCACTCAAATTCCTCTTCTCCTGTTATGGAGATGAAATGGCAACATATCATAACGAATTCCAGAGGACCCCTTCCCCCCAGGGCGTGGTTCTTAAAAACCAGCCACACGACCTGGATTCAAATTTTGCGGATTGGATGAAACCGTATACATTGTTTCAAAGAAATCCACACTTCAATCTTTTTGCAAACATTCTGTCTATGGGATTTCTTTCTCTTCCTCCCAAAAACAAAATTATTTCTTAGTAGTAAATAAATTCTGGTTTCCAGTCCCCTTTTTGGGCACTTGGTCACTATATTTTGCATTATACTATGCAATAAGATGTTTTTAGCAGGTAAAATGATAATCTACGTCAATTGATTAACAGTTCAGTGGAGACCTTCAGCTGCTAAAAAGTTTCCAATTTGAAAAAGTCGTCTGTACTCAACTTCTGACCGGCTTAAACAGCAAAAGTCAAGGAAACGTCATAAAGCAATGGATATATTCATCCTTCAAACTACCATGAAACCAATTTAGTCTAAATAACACAGAAATCCCATGTGGGGAAATATGTTAAATTGTTAACTTTTCTTGGCCATTTTTTTTGCCACTCTTGTAATTTCCTCATGGTCATTGGAATTGTGACCTTTGTGCAAGGCTGCCGTGTAGCCATGAGAAGGGCCATCAGGTAAATTATATTAAGCCATTAAGGAAAATATAACACCATAAATCTAGCATGTGACCTGAACACTGACAATGATAGCAATGTACAAACACAGTAAAATCACTGGGTAACAGTACATACATGTACTGGACTTTGCACAAGTAATAGGAGATCAAAATGTTACCCACTGCGGGTGACAATTGATATTAGTGGCCGACAACCTCTAGCTACCAAAAATCTCCCCCAAAAATCTCCAATTAATTTTGCTTTACTCTGTTAATGTCTATTGTTAGAGTGTTTGTTTTTGTAGTATTGTAAATGTAATTATTTAATGTGATTATCAATAAATATATTTTTAAAAAAAATCTCCTGGAGAAATATCATTTTCCTCCCTTATCATACATTTCTGTGTTAGAAAAAAAGACTGATCTTAGAGTTCTCATTTTGTTTTGGTTTTCCTTTTCCGGCTTGCAACTTAGGATTCCTGCTTCCCGTCCATGACTGCTTTGTGTATCGTGCGCAAGCTAGTGAGGAGTGACTGGCCTTAAGCACGCCCTTTGCCAGGAGCCAACTTCACAGCGACTAGCAACTCTTTCGACTCCACCCACTGGCCACCATCCAAATCCGGGGTATAGATACCACATCCAGTGTTCCTGTACACCAGAAGAAGGACCTTGTCTTCTGACACGAATGCTTGAACACACCTCAGGGAAATTCTAGTCTTCTGTACAGGCTGTCCTTAACCACGACTCCCACGAAGTGCCAATGCTGATCTCCAGTTTGGCGGTGGCTGCCCAGTGGCTGGGCCTGACAGGCTCGAGGTCATCTGGCCCTTCTTTGGCCTTCGGCTTTGCCAACTCTAGTGCCATGGTCTTCCTCTCGTTTGCTGTGGGTGGGTCATAGGTCATCTGGGTTTGCTGTCAGGAGTGTCGGAGGCAGGCGCCAAGGCTGTCTTTCATGTGGTCATCACATTCCCTGGAGACAGGCAAACACAGACGGTCATCAGCAATGTGGCTGTAGTGTTGTAAAGCAACAGATTCCCAAATTTATGGGGAATGGTTAAATCTCCAGGGCTCAGTCTGGTGATGTTACTGGCTCGTCTCGGGGACCTACGACTTTTATGGTGATGTGCAGTTCAAAAGTGATGGTTACCTACCTCTGGGAATATGCCTATGTTACAAAAGATGACCTTAGTTCACAGCTTGCGACCTTGTTTTCGGTCAGTTGCTGAAACATTTTCTGTAAATGTGCTGTGAATTAGGAACTTGAGTACAGTCTACCTTTCGAATTCTGAATTGAAATAGGGGAGGATAAAAAATCAGGGCTCGTCACTCAATTTTTTACCCCTCATTACTGTGACCTACAGTTCTTAAGAGTCCTTTGTGGTCCAAAAATTCCTAATGAAGTTTCAAGTGCTATTTCACCAAGCTGGACAATTTTGCTGAGCTATAGCTGCTAACACAGATACTTACCAGAAACACGTACTTGCCGCCTAGCTCAAGGTTAAGCACCCTTTTTCAATTCTGATACAAACTGTCAAACTGTTTGAACAGCCTGGAGAGTTGGCTGTCTACCTGCAGGGAGAAACAGAAAAATTACTTGAAGTACTGTAATTCAATTTACTTTTAATGGCAAATAATGTTATTTGACTGGAAAAGAGCCACCCCATGGACCTGTTAAATAGACTGCTGTTCTTATTATTAATGATTCAGACATGTGCTGGGAGCTTTATGCTTTCCTCACACCTTTATCTTCCCCTGGTCATTGATCATAGCTATCAAGTTGTTTGGACTTTGATAGGGAAGGAAGAGGGTAATGCAATTTGTCATCAGGGAAATATGCCACAGCAAACTCTGCTTTTGTTTGCATAGCTCGATGAAGTAATGATAAGAATTACCTGTACTGGAATTGTTTCATGCCCAGTGTGCTTGGCTTTTGTGAACGTTCCCAGGTGTAGCATTATGCCGCCTTCTTTCTTGATCAGGGCAAAATTTCTGTCACGATAGTGCACTTGCTTAAACACCACTTTAAGTTCACTTTCCAGAACTAACTCCATTGTCGTGACTTCTAGGCCCCTGCATGGTGGGAGGTGGGTGTACAGTGACGAAAGCAGCAGGTCACAGGCTTCCTGAGAGCGTTGTTGTGTTTGTCTTTAGCCAGTTCAAACCGGCTCCACTGGGCTTCCCTAGCTTGGAGGACTTCATCCCTTAAGAGAAAGCAGGGAGACGTGATATTTTCACAAGCCAGTAGGTCATTACTCATTAAAAGAGGCTGATGTGAAAATGTTGAGATCTTTGTGTTGTTGTTTGAAACTTTCCAATGCATTCCACTTGGAAAAATACGGTTTGGGTGCCTAGCCTTGGTAACACAGGTATTTTCTTACTCTCATCAACTAGGGGATGCCAGTCATTTATTTACTTATTTATTTGTTTTCTTTTTCTGTTTTGCTTTGTCCTCTGTTCTTCTTTATACTAACACACTTACCAATCCAACCACTTGTTTTGGGCTCTGAAATCTTCAACTGCGGTTGCCCTCTCCACCACCCCCTGCTTCTGAAGTACAGTAGCTGTTCTGAGCTGGGAGATAATGTGGAAACCTTCGAATTTTGGTCCCCTTTCCCAATGGTAATACTTGAGTAGGTATAGCAGACTGCTTGCGTGGTTGCTGGCAGTTTCGGCACTCAAATTATAGAGATGAAATGGCAACATATGATAACAAATTCCAGAGGACCCCTTCCCCCCAGGGGGTGGTTCTTAAAAACCAGCCACAGGGCCTGGATTCAAATTTCGAGGATTGGACGAAACCGTATACATTGTTTCAAAGAAATCCACACTTCAATTTTTTTGCAAACATTCTGTCTATGGGATTTCTTTGTCTCCCTCCCAAAAACAAAATTATTTCTAAGTACTAAATAAATTCTGGTTTCTAGTCCCCTTTTTGGGCACTTGGTCACTATATTTTGTATTATACTGCACAGTAAGATGTTTTTGGAGGTAAAATGATAATCTACGTCAATTGCAGTGATTAACAGTTCAGTGGAGATCTTCAGCTGCTAAAAAGTTTCCAATTTGAAAAAGTCGTCTGTACTTTACTTGTGATGGGCGTAAACAGCAAAAGTCAAGGAAACTTCATAACGCAGTGGATATATTCATCCTTCGAAGTACCATGAAACCAATTCAGTCTAAATGACAGAGAAATTCCATGTGGGGAATATGTTTAATTGTTAACTTTTTTTGGCCATTTTTTTTTGCAACTCTTGTAATTTTCTCATGGTCATTGGAATTGTGACCTTTGTGTAAGGCTGTTGTATAAAATCACTGGGTAACAGTACATACATGTACTGGACTTTGCACAAGTAATAAGAGATCAAAATGTTACCCACTGCGAATTCGGAAAATTAGCGGTATTTAGTACCTAAAAACAGTACAATTAAGTAATCCTACTTTTGTTGGTGATTTTCTAGGTTGTCCATTTCATAGATAACGATTGCTCTGTTGGCTCCGTATTACCGACACCATGGCAAACAGTTGGCATCAAAAATCTGATTTCCTCATGAAAAAGAACCCACTCCCCCCCCCACCCCTCTAAAAAGAAAAACAAACTCTCATACAGAGATAATTGTATTCAATGACATCATTCCATTCAGAACGTCTGAAAAAACTGAAAAAATGCTTCTTTTCTTAAACTCTGAAAAATTGTTCAACAGTATTACAACAACTGCAACTAGCACTTCATTCAGCTGACATAGTATCCTGAATTTCCCTTAAAAAATAAATGCAAGACACAATCATAAATATAAGTCATTAAAAAAAAATCTTCAACCGTTAAATCATCAGGCAAAGAAAAGGAAAACTTACCTTCTCTGATATTCAAGAGATAACAAATGTGCCGCAAAATCGCTGTCACTAGAACCTTTATATCCTGCTTGGAGTTTCACACCAAGCCGGGACTGAAATATATTGTTTTCGAGGGAAATACGTTCACAGTTTTACACCACTCTCTTTTGTACTGTTTCAGATCAGAAATAGTTCTGTGGCAACCCGAGTTCCTTAGTTTACTGCCATGGCTGCCTCTGCTACTAGCAGCTGGCATCTCTTTCAGCCAGGTCAATCTTGAAATATTCTGCAGAATAAAACAACAACACTTTTATTCACAAATATTAAATCTAAATACAGTTGCGCTGCAAATTACCAATGAAACGCTATTTGAGGCAGGGAAAAGTAATCATGTTGAAAATAATAAAAATTAGTCAACATAACAATACAGAAGCTGATATGTAGAGTTTTAGATGTCATTTTAAAGCTGAAGATGAATGATGTTGATGGCAGACACGGGAAATCCTTCCTGTCTTCTTTTGCCCCCTTTTAATCGTTCTCTTAAGTCTCTCCACTCTCGCTACAGCTTCCTTCTTCCCCTCCTTTGTCCACCCTTCCATCTTTCTTGGAAACTCCTCTGTTTTTGCTACAGTTGCCTTCATCCCCTCTGTTCCCCGCTCCTTCTTCGTTTGAACTCTCAGAATCCTAATCTCCTCGTTCACTGTCTTAACTGCAACTTTCTTCTTCGGTGCTATTGCCTTCTTCCTGTTGATCTCCAGGCCTTCTGTCCAGCTTATCTTTATTTCGCAGTGCTAAAGTGTACAAGTATTAATGTGGTGGTTGGAAGTGCGTGCAGCGGAACACCATGGTTAAGATACATAACATACTATCGCTGCGAGACATTTTGGTGATGAGGTCACCCGACCATCAACTGTCTGTCTGCTGTATGTAAAGCAATGTGAAATGACATTCCAATACCGGGATTGTTGCTTCTGAAAAACTCAAGTTATTTTAGGAAGGATAAATTAACAAATTGAAGACAAAAAGATAGGTAGAAAGTTCCTAATATTCGTAGCTAGCATTTGGTTTTTACTCAGGCCAAAATAACCTTTTCAAATAAGCTTTGAATCACGGACCTTGTATCTTTGGTTTGCAAGTTTTTTCGCCTCATTTTTTTTAGTACAGTTTTAAAAATTCTGCATAACTTTGTCTTTTAAAACTAGGTAGTGTTAGTGATGAATGCAATATTGCCACTGGAGTGAGTATTGCCTACCTTTAAAAATGGTATCCAGTTGCTTCCCAAAAGCAATCTTGTATATGTATGTCACTTGGACATTTCTTCCGTCTATTTTTCTGCACCGGCTTTTCCCATTATTCTCTTTTTCAACATTGTGTGAACATCGGAACTGTGATAGGCGCTATTCTAATAAAGTGCAGGCTGGCTAACCACACAGGGTACCCTGTCCGTTCCTTCAATCTCAATAACTTGTTTCACCTACCAAATGATTTTGGTCACCAAGGTGATTTTAAAAAATTGTGACGACTAAAACTGTCAACTCTTCCGACCTTTGATGTTTCGCTGTTGCATGTTTAGATGTATAATATTGTTTCTGGTCTTCTTTAAAGTAAGATGATGAAACATCAATTTTCTTAACAGTTCTCCACTTTGTCATGTTATGAGAAAACTGTGAGTTATGTGGCATGTAGCTCTACAGTCAGCTGTGGTTATTACGATGGGCATTATGATAATTTCTTTTTCTTACAAAAAAGCATCCATTGCAATAATATCATACTTACGTTTTTCTCCTTTTATGATGACCAATATTTTTTGTCTTGTGACCATTTTATATTCTTACCGGATGCCAGAAGGGGCATTTGAGTAAAATTAAGCTTAGATTTTAGGGAATGAAAATATTCACAGTTCAATACAAATTATTCCAAAATGTTGATGCTACTGAGGGTGCCTAGGCACAAACCGATATACATTGTGTCAAAGGCAAATTCCAGCAATAAAAAGTCAATGGAAAGAAACTAGACATTTCACAAATATGTACTTACATTTCTTGTTGACATGGTCAAGGCAATCTGTGGTA